GGGTAGCAGAAAGGGAGCCACTCAAGGCCTTCCGCAGCCCGTGTCTGCTTGGAGAGAGGGGGGCAGGCTGCTCCTCCAAGGAGATGGGGGAGGGATGAAGCCTGGGACTCCCAGAGTAGGGGTGAACCGTAGAGTGGTAGGCAGTGCAGAACAGGGAAAGCCTGAGAAATGAAGTCATGATGGGGGGTTTCCGGGGACAGGAAGCCCCAGGTGACTCTCCTCTTCAGGGGCTGGTGGTCTCGGCGAAAGATCACCATGGCCCCTTCCTCCTTCCTCAACTCTTCCTCCTACAGGACGTCACCCAAATCCACTGCTCCCATCCACTCATTCATTGACACACAGGCTGGAACCTTCCCAATGTACCAGAAGCATCAGCTGAGAAGACTCTCAAATCTCTCTGGAAGTGGCCTCTTCCTTGCCCCAGATGTCACTTCCAACACATCATTCCTAAAGGTGATCACTGTCCTTTGCATATCAGCTTATCCTTGCCTGCCCTATATTTAAAGTTTTTTCCCCAAATTTCCAAATTCCTCTCCTATAAGGCTCTTGCATTAACCCTATTTTTTCCCTCTAGCCAGAGGGACAGCTTGCTATTTTCTAAACATGTCTTACACTTTCCTTCTCAAATGTCACTCTGGCCAGAATGAAGACAGAGGTTACTATTTCATGAATGTTTTCTGTATGTCCAGCTCTTTAGTCTTCCTAACAACCAGATGGGGTTGGCACGATTATTACAGACATTTGACAGATGAAGGAACCTACCCATGGAGCAGTCCCACAGCTAGTGAGGGGTGGAGCCAGCAGGGGGACTCTGGAATATTCTCTTTAACATCATGATCTTCTTTCTTAACCTTATAGCCAGAAGTGATCTGCTCATTTTCCAACTTTTAAAAAAATCGTAGTCCCTATATATGATTTCTGTTCAGTTGGTATTTGTAATTTCTTGCCTCTTATAGTTTTCAAATGTTTGGGTAATTATCTTTTTTGTCCAATGGTCTTATAGATTCCAGAAGAGCAGGGACCTTGTGGATTACTGTTTCCAGTTTCTCCTGCTGCCACGATGGGCTCTTGCAAATACTAGACGGCCCACCCACATTTCCCCAGTGGGCCATGTTTCAATGCCGGATCTTTGTGAAGCAGCCAAAGCCCCCGAGACTCCTGTCACGTGGTAGGCCTGGCTGCTGGGGGTCAAGCTCTGCAGGGTTCGTGCTCCTTGGAAAGGTAAAATGAATGTAGTCGGCGCATGTGCTGAACACCAGCACGTAGTGGGGAAACACGGCTCTCCGCCCGAGAGGGGTGGCCCAGGACACCTGACATGCCTCCTTGAAATGCCACCCTCAGCTGGTTAAGACAGTGCCCAGATAAAAGGATCAAAAGTCCAACAATCTAAACCACAGATTCTCAGTGCCCTTTGGCTCAGTACATAGGACAGGCATGAGTGGAAGTAAAAGTACGTACGACTGATATGAAATTGCCAGCATTTCACTTCGCCAAATAAAAATATTTTTGAAATTTACTATCAGCAACATTTCATACACAAGAGGAAATTTTGATACCACATAGATAGGAAATACATATTTTCAGAATAAAAGGCGGTTCTTCTCAAGGAAGGGCAGTGGGCAACTTTATACTGACATCTTCCAAAAAGGTTCTATTGAAAAATATTTATTAATGCAGAAAAATTATGGCATAAAATTTTGTTTAATGAGCATTAATTGCACATAATCGGGTTTTTGGTTGAAGCTGATTGGTGGGGGCTGTACGATCTATCCGTAACAGGAGGTAGATCAAATGTTCACTATGTGCCGGTTCTAAGGTTCTACTTCAAAAATGACAAGAATCTAGTTTTGTAAATGGAAACAGCACTTTTAAGACTTTTTCATTCCATTGGAACTGTTCCGAGTGAAAAGAGGGAAGAGCCGCTGCCAGGAGGAAGGGCGTGGCTGGTGCCCAGAGCGTGGCTCGGGCTGGCATCCCCAGGACAGAGCAGGCCAGCGACTTTCTCGAGACTTTCTCTGAATCACAGAGCAGCCCAGTCTGAGGGATGGCAGGGGCTGCCCTGCCTAGGAGGACAAGGAAAAGAGGGACAAAGGGGAGGGCAGCAGGCGTGGTCTCTTCCCGTCCTTCTCTTCCCAGTTCTGCTGCCCTGGAGCCACCAGGGAGCAACGTCACGAGTGATACACGTCTGATAATAAGCCCTGCCTGGGCCATATAAGCAAGGTGTTTTCTGGGTGTCCTTGTCGGGACCACACCCCTCCCTGGCAGAAGCCCAGATTCTTATCACAGGATTAGATACACCTCCCACACCGGAGGAGACTCCAAGGAGAGCCAGTGCCAATGTCGCGTGGGCATCACCAGTAGGAGGAACGCTCTCGGGGACAAGGATGCGCCCTCCAGGCACTTTCACTGACTAATT